TATTGGTTGTAGGGAATTCTTTGAATTAAATATATATTTCTTCTTTTCCTTTGTTATTCTCTATGATTTTTGTATTTTTAAATGGTTTGTGTGTATTTCAGTGAAAAAGTGTAAAACTGAGATTTGATTGTATGCCTATATAATTTTGTTGTTTATATATATACACATATATATATATATATATATATATATATATATATATATATAAAATATTTGTGTGTGTATGTGTATCTCTGTGTTTGGTTGTCTTCATGCGGTCATATCGCTATTTGCATGTTGGACTGCATTCCAATGTATATCCCAGGATATAAATTGCTCTCAGTGTATATGTATATATAAAATTTTTATGATAAGAAAATGATATATAGTTCTTATAAGATGTAATGTTATTATCAATTTGAGTGTATTATGTTTCCTGCCGCATTTTAAACCTAAAACATATGAATGTAACTGTAAAACTGCAATGACAAAGATTCTCCTCGATTATTCATTAGGCTCGGCATACATCAAAGAAATTAATACATAAAAATCTATATTGATTTCATTTCTTGAATCGATAACTAATGATAAATAAATTAGGATATTTTTTTTTTTATTAAACCAAAGTTTTCATTGCTTAACTATATGTTTATTAATCAGTTTAATGGAAAAAGTATTATTAACATTTGAATTTATAATTAACCTGATCTTTCAAAATTGATCCTGTTTCAGATTCAGACAAAAAATATTTTCGAATGATGTCATTTTTTACTATATACCATTTCAACATGTCAGCAATAATATCATATAATAACAAGATTAATTATATTTATAAAATATGACACGGTCAGCTAATTCTTATTCGTCAGAAAGCAATTGGATATAAATTTGTAGCTCGTGTTTCATTGTCAACAAAAGTATCAAATTTTGGGATGTATATCGCTATGTTTTGTCTTTTCATTGGCAGACATTGTTTTGTATGATTTCTTCGAAGTCAATGACTCAAGCATCTTGTGACACATAAATATTTGAATAATTAATTCATCATAATAATTTATTAAAAGAAATCAATAAATTCTTTACTATTATTAATCGCTTATTTAATGTTATATCAAATTTATGATTTATCAATCCAATATTCTATTCTGCATAGCAATAACTGTTTTCATAGCAACATATTTCGGTGTATATGCATATATTAATTATTATATTAATAATGCAGATCATATTACCTATGGTTCGTATGAGGCATTAAGACCATCATTTTAGTGGTTAGATAAATCCATGTATTTACTATGAGTGTTTCAACGTTCATAATTCATATTAAACCGCTCATTAATTCGGTGCACATGAAGTTTAATAACAAATATGTATATGGTTGTCATTGCTATCAAATAACAAGTAATTTAACAGTAATATATTGAATAATACATTATGTATCTAATTCGATATTTAAGCACATATAGAATAGAAACTGAATTAATATTTACAATAGTGATGCATATTGCCTACAAATTGTTTCAAATTATACTCGTTGTAATATGCTTAATATAAGTAATGATCGTGAAAATATTATATCAAGAATAAAATTGATTATTGATAATGTAAAGATATAAATATTGTGTAGGATAGAACTGGGCTTAAAGGTCCGCTGGCAAAAAGGTCTACTAAGTAAAGATTTTTTTAACAACAATATTTGAACGTAAAGGGAATAATATAATAACCAGTTATCACCTTCATTCTTAAGGCGTCGCTTTCGGGAGATAATCGGCAATGTTTGAAAATCCATAACAAAAGTATTTTTTGTCGTAGTTAGCTTTTTGGTTGTGAGCACTGTTGTTTAGTTTTCGAAAACTTAATATAATTTTTAAGTATACGTTATTTAATTGTTTTATGAGATTTATTATTAATTTTAAATTAGATTCAACAGTTTTTCATATATAACATCTGTAAAAGCTTATATGTGATTGAGGCAAAAAGGGCCAACTGTACCTTTGCCCTGGCAAAATTATAAATAATAAGAAAATAGTAAATAAAAGAGTAAATAAAGGTGAAAAATGTAATTTCAAATAAGATAAATCAAATCAAAAGTTATTCAATGCTCTGCTGATAAATATTTTATACAGAAATGTCAGATCAAGTTTATATACTTGTATTATATAGTGTTATATTTGTAAAAAATATGCACATGAAATTTATATTTTGCATTGATTCAATAATATAGTTGAAATTTGTAAATAAAGCATTAGACCTGTTTGCTCTTTAGGCGTCCTGTTATTTACCGCCTATGGGGTAAAAAGGACCAGCTGACAATATTTTGAAAAACGCCAAAGAAGCACATTTCTACAATGATGAATTAACGGGAAGTTTTACTAAACATAGTCATAGAATTGGTTTTCATAATATAATTGCTCAAAGTCAAATTTGTTTTTCCTATACGATACAGGCTTTTTTTGTCGCCCAAGACAACAAATGTAGTTGCAGCTAACTAAACCTCTTGAAAACAAATGCATCAATTATCTCCTCGATGATTATTTTAATCAAACGCTTCTCCTAATACGAAAGGAAGGATTGTAATTGATAAATGAGCAAAAGAAGAGGGCATATACGTGCGCCGCATTACTCGTGTTCCGGTAAGGACTTACAGACCACACGCGACGAGAGGACTTCGCACTGTTTTATTACGGCTTGACATGGGCAATAAGATTGAAAGAGCTTTATAGGAACTCTAAAAAAAAGATTAGAAAAAAATTGTGAGAAAAGAGCATATTCCACTTATGCCTTAATGTGTTGAACTGTGCCGTTTTAACAAAATAATAACTACAGTCAAGTTTTAACATATTTTATTCATTTTAATTATCCAAGTTCCAAAAAATGAAAGATGATCAAATATAAATATTGAATATGCTCGCAAATCTAATTTATTTGCTAATGACTATATAAATAAAAAATTTTAATAACACTATAACATTTTAGTAATATAGGATTTAAATAGTACTTAATATAGAGGTCAAAATTTATAAAAATATTTTAATATGTAAGTAATATAAATTTATTTAATATTCATATTTTGATTTTTTAAATATTCAAAAAATTTTAAAACGCTTGAGAAAGCTATATAGAAACTGTAAAAAAAATGTTTAAGGCATTTTTTTTTTCTATAAAAACGTTTTACTATTTTTTGCTAGAACAATTAGTGCCTGTGCTGAAACTTCAAGGCCTTTTTATAAATAATTAGTTGAATCAAATTAATAACTAATATAAAATTTAAAATCCACATTCTAATGATACGGAACTTTAATAGCACTGACCTAATGTTATATCTATTCAATTTGTTCTAAAAATTCTTAAAAATATATATATGAAAAATTATTACACACATCATTTCAAAAATAGATATAATAGGTTAAATAAAAAAATAGTTATTAGTTTAATAACTTAAATAATAGTTAATAAAAAAATAAATTTCAAAGGACTAAGCTTATTCAGTATCTTTTCAATTTGTGTACTCTAAAAATTCTAAAAAAAATTACATGAAGAATTATTACAAGTATTATTCATCGTCTATATTTTATTTACTTGTAATATTTGAATTTCTTTACAAGTATTTTTTACATTTATGAACAGAAAATTATGTATCCATATACATGCTCAAACAAAATGTATAAAGTTGTATTATTAATTTTATAAAAAGTTTATTATATTTTCACGCTAAACAACATTTTAATCTAATTGTGAGCTTGGTAATGGGTTTTTATAATACATTCCGCAAACTTTCAATATATTTTGAGGGCTCGTCATTAAAATAATTATATAATATCAACTACATACTGACGCTATAATTGTGGTTGATTAGTACTGTTAATAAAGCTAGTTATTTAATTCTACAATATTTTAAAATAGAACGTTTTATAATTTTTATTTTCATATTACGAATAATTTGCGAATAATTATATTGGATGGAAAAAATTCCAAATTATTTGAATAGTGTATTATCAATATGGTTAACAGCAAATAAATTAGATTTGCGAGCACATTCGACATTTATATATGCTCATTTTTGATCGATTTTATTTTTTTGGACTTAGATAATTAAAATTAATAAAATAAGTGATTTAAAATTGTGATTACCTACTGATTTAATACGATATATTCAGGAATGAACTGTGTAAAAAGTAAAATTTTACATTGGTTAGACAATTAAGCATTAGAGTCGAATGCGGTTCTGGTTTTGTTGGCTTGTTGTTAGACTGACTACAAAAGACAAATTTCGTATATGAAGTGTTGCAATGCTATTACAGCCCCTGTTTTCCTACTCAATTACGTAATACTTCCACGGTTTACTCTTGTCTAAATTCGCGATTACAGATGCAAATTTATGTACAATACAATTCTATCTCGAATATTCGCAAACAACGACTGCAAAATGAGGACGCTCTTATTTCATACTAACTACGATTATTGCATTCATAATTATTCCAGCAAAAAGCTCGCGTTCAAAGAAATATTTAATTGAATAATAAAGTGTTAGCACTTATTTGCATACTGTGTCAGTATTCGTGCATTTTGTTCTGTTTTAAATAATTAAAGTCATATTTTTATATTTCTTTTTTATATAAGCTGGGAACGATGTTCTAGCGTAAATATAACAATTTATTAATATTGAAGCATTCGTGTTGCGACTTTTTTGCTTGAACAGTAATTTTAACAGAGTCGCGCTAGGATTATATTCTGTATTGCATCGTTATATTCGTGCTAGGTATATATATAATAATGATATATATATATATATATATATATATATATATATATATGTGGGTGTGTGTGTGTACCTTTTTTTTATCGACTCATTCTGAAAGGAAAAGCAAGATTTTCAGGTTTCAAAACAAAATGTTAAATTTACATAAAATTTATTTTAGTAAAACAAACATTAACTGTTAAAAAATATATTTCGTGACAAAATTTATACATTTGGTTTCAACTGTTTATTTTATAAAATATTTTAATTTTCAATTGTAAATTTATGTATCCAACAAAAACTCCTCTTGGAAACAAGAGTTTTCCACTTCGGGCATATCTACCCGAAAAACGTCCGATTCCATCCCTGACGACGATGTATTTTTTGTCGTCGACAGTGGATCATTATTTGGTTTTCTGCTATCATCAGTCTTATTGGTATGTGGATAAGCTATAAATTGGTAAAAAGCTGATTGGCTAGCTTGGCTGAATGATTCTGGATATTGAGAATTATATCGATTGTTTTGTCTGTCCGACATGCAGGCACGTACTACCATATTATGCACGTCATTCATAACAATATCTCTCATATTTGGGTTTCTAAGTTTTCTTATTTTTGAAGCAATAAATTTTGCAAACATATCGTATTCGTCATCCGTACGTGTACTACTTTTGAGCTCTTCTGTCATTTTACGTTTACTGCCTCTATATCTCTGAGGTATAAAAGTGCCTTCAGATTTTGAACTTGTAGAATTTTCTATTCTTGGTTTTGAAGTTTCTGTTGTTTTATCTTGTATATTATTATAATCTACAAGCTCAACAAAACTATCTTTTGCAAATTCTTGTCTGTGTTCAGCATGCTCTACAATATCGATTTTCGAATCTTCAGCGAAATCTTCACCATCGCTGTCCTCGGATCTCGTTTCATCTAGTTCCTTCTCTGGCGTCGGCTGAAAAACAAATTTATGTTATAATTTTGTATATATAATGAGTAACTTAATTTTGAAAATTACATACTTCTAGCGCCTGGTTCACGTGACATTCGTAAAGAGGCCCGAGAAATTTATCCATCGCTTCAAAGGCAAACCAAGTTGTGCGATACATATCTTGGTCGCTCAATATGGATTTTTTTATTTTATTTATTATGGTCCGGTAGCATGCCATCAGGGAATCCTTCTTTCGCTTCATTTCTTCGATGGTTGTGCTCCAACTCAAGTTGTCTCTTATTCTCACCCATGCGTCATATATCAAACTTTTCTTTTTGTAATACGGATGTCTGTTGTTCCACAATATACTTTCCTTTTCATAAAGTTTTATGAATTCCAAAACTTGAGCATTTCGCCATTCCATTATTATCTTTAGTTCTGAACCCTGTATATTTCTAAATAATTATTAAAGAAAAAGCAAGTAATTTTTGTATTACGTGCACAGTGTTCGACTCGGAATGGCAGCGCTCGCAGTGCTGGTCGCCGCTTTGGCATCGCTCGGCATTTGTCGTTATCCGAACACAAATGTTCGTCGCAGACGCAGTGCGCAGCTGTATTCGGTCGAGGTACGCGGCGCGTCGTACGCTGCGGAAATATTCGGTGCACACGATGCTGCACATCGGTTATACGTATGCTGCTTGCAGGGCTGCGTTAAACCTGTAGAATTATATTAATAATTATTATTATTTAAAATTATACGATTATATTTTATACAACTGGGAGAAAGTTATTTGAAGTATCAATTTTATTATGTACATAAGATAGTTATTCAAATAATATCTTAGCATTTGATTGCTTAGTTTAGTACCTGAGTATCTTTGACATTTTATGAAATATCTACAAAACAAGAGTTGCATACTAACTAATTGAGAAAATTTATATGGGATATTTTCATTGAACTCTTGATGTTATGTTTCCTAAATAACCTGTGATTCATATTTATCTCTGATTTTGATTGCATCACGCAATAAACGGTTAGTGCGTTACTCCTGCAGTGTCATCCACTCGACACGTACAATATAAATTCTCCACTCAGGAACTCCATCCATCCGACGACGACGAATGCGCCCGGTAACAAAAATCGTCCCGTCGCTTCTCTATGCTGAGATCAAATCAATTACCTCGCTAATGACCCGCTAACCCTGGGACACCCTGTCTCCGTTCTGTCGTCATTTCGCATTGCTCTCTGTGGCCACCCTGTTGTGTCTCTCTCTCGTCTCATACCGAAAACGGCTCAAACCCCACACTAGATTTTATCTATACGCTTGAATATATATATATTTTTTGCCATATCCTCAACATTTCTGCCCGCTCTTCCATAATACGCGCGTACGTGTCTCTCTAACACCAACAAAACGTTCGAACTCCACGCGGAGTGTCGGCACAGCTGTACGATCCCATAGGCGCGCACAGTACGATCGCTTAACATGGGAGTGGCGATAGAGTTTTGTGCCGCTCGCATTCGAGAAGTGGCACAGAGCGTACAGCTCTCGTTTGCCCGACCAAATCTACACGCTACTCCACGTGGTGTTCATACTGGTAATCAGTATGTACCGAAAGCGCCATATTTATAAGGGGGTGCCCCGGGTGAAATCATAAGGGGGTACATTTGTGTTCATTCGCTTAGGGTTGTATTGGTGTATACGTATTTGGCGACTACCTACCCCTCGCGGGCGCAAGCCGAGCCGTGCGCTAGAGCGAAACGGTCGTATATAAAGCGATGCATTCGAAACGGCAGCCATTTTGAGGGTACGAGAGCTTTTTTACCCGGTTATTTTATTTTATTCTAGTTTTTTTCGCCCGCAGTCGAGCGCGTTCCGTGTTTTCTCTCTTCGTTGTTTTTTTTTTTGTAGATTTTGAGGACTTTTTCTTCTACCGCGCTGGATGATGTGCTCTGGCTCCCTATTGAATGTACGTGTGCATTTTCTGTCCAAAATTCGCAACGATTTGTTTCGGCAAGCGAAAGCGATAAAATAATTGGAAGTAATTGCGTAATTGACGAAGTCAATTAGCGTGTACACAGCATCGCGTGATGACTCACATTGTGAAGCTACTATCAACAACGTATCGAGATTCTTCAGTTCATAAATAATTCTACAGGTACAGTAATTATGAAGATTGGAGATAACTTAACGAAGAATTCATAAAAATACCGCTCGTAATGAATGTTTGTAACTTTAATCGCTTCTAATCAGCGTACGGCGTGATAGCAATTTCAATACGTTTACTCAAGACGCTCCGTATGAGATGTCGGCGAATCAGTGTATTTGTACATGACAGATTATCAGCTAACCATCAATTTTGATTAATAATAATGATTATACATAAGGCAGTAAAACTGGTTTAACATAATAATGACCGTACAAATGTACAGTCGGAACGGAAAACAAAAATTACTTCTTTGAATATACCCACATGCATATTCCCGCGCTTGTGTGCGGATGCAACAGAATTTTTCTGTTTAGGGCTGCTCAGTGTGTAATACAACTACAAACCGCCAGCGTACAAGACACTCATACAGCAGCATTTTTCCATTTAAATTCTCTGCTTCGTCGCTCGTTTACACGAACTCGTACTGGTGTGCATATCGTTGAGTGGATGCCTGTTATATTTGTATTCGTTTGTACTATGTTCTTGTATGCCTCTATGCCTGTATTGCTGTATTGCTGTATTGCTCCATAGCGGTTACCACTGTATCGCCTCCACCTCCAGGCCTTCGTACGAAAGTGATGTGGCTATCGGGTGCGAAAGCGATAGATATACCCGGCGTAAATACACATCGGATGCGTACTTCAGTCGAGCGCTGAGCTCTGTGTCGAATGGATGCCTTGGATAGATTATTTCGTGTTTTTCTATTCTGATACGACGTTTAAATTGGATTACCAGTGAAGTGAAATCAATTAGTTTATTTTACAAACAAATCAATTCATTTGCCGCGTGGTTATGATGTTATTAACATAGTAAGTAGACGCGAGTGAGACTATTGGGTGTCGTTTTAAACTAATAATAGTTGTTAAATTATTTTTTTTATGTAATACTTTTATTATAATACACTTTTGGATTATTTTATGCACATTTGGATTATTTTAAAATAGTGTTTATAAAACAGTGGTGTTTCATATATCAAGTGCTCAGGTGTTCAGTGTATTCAAAGTGCGACGGTGAAAAGATTTCTCTGCTTGAAATATTTATTGTTTGTTTTTTTAAGTTTGTTTGCTGTTATTGTTTTAATTTCTGTGTTGTTGTATAATTAGTGTGAGCCATCATCCCTCTGCAGGATATTTTAAAGTGTATTACAGGGCGATGAAACTAACATAGGCGACGGTTATGTATCCGAGCGCGGGCATGAACGCAGCAGCGGCTGCCGCTGTAGCGGCCGCCAGACATCCGGTAAGTTTTACATTATCACTATCAGTTTTATATTATGATTGCGTAATATTGATGGTACAAGGATTTGTTTGCTTTGGACAAAAAGGGAGAATGATGAACGACATCTGGCTTCTTCTTATTTGTTTTATAGACGATATGTGTCATAAGATAAATAACATTATCTAATTTTGATTTTCTATACATACAATATTATTTACTCAAGTACACTCATCAAAGAATTGCGTAAAATACAGTCCATACAAATCCATCATGATCAAAAATTAAAACACGTGTTACCCTTTTATAATAGAATCATCACGTTTTCTAAATTTGGTTAATTCACTCTGATGGTAATTCAATTCATTTTAAAAAAATAAATGCTTAGTTTTTATTTTTACTCCATTAGTGCAACGTGTATATTTGCATAAAATAACGGAAGCTAAGTGCACCGCAATTGTTATATTCTATTAGCAAACAATAATTTTCACATAAATGATTCTACTTCAACATGATGCGAAAATTCATTATATGAGTGCACTTTTTTCACATGATGTTATAATTGCAATGACACAGTATTATTACAACTCACATGTTTTTTCAGTTAAAACTAACGATAAGTGCTTGTTGAACGAGGAATCTCATTAACGATTTTATTATTTGTATTTGTGATATTTGTGAAGATAAAACGGATATGTACTAAAAAAATTGTTAAGTTTAGTTAATTAAACTCCCGTAGTATAAGTTATAGTAATCACAAAAAATCGAAAATGAAAATTTTTATCTCTTCCCGATTCAAAAGTTTCTGGACATTTTGGCATACCTTAGAAAAGATTTATGTATGTGTATGTGTGTTCGGATCAACTATTCGATTTGTATTGACGGGGAGATGTGCTGTATAGGCAAAGGCAGGTCAATAATGGTAACTGAATTTTTGAGGTAATGAGGCATCCGATTTGATTGATATATTTATTTGCATTGACGAGGTTAAGAAGTGTTTGAATTTGTGGGAAGTCAGGTCCAGCGGTTTCGTAGTCCAATAAAACAAAAAAAGTCATTTGGCTGTCAAAAATGATAATTCGACATATGCACATCAAAGTATCAGGCTTGAGGCACGATGCCATGCACAACTAGTTTCATTTGTTTTTAACTTATATTTATAATCTTTTCGTTTTTATCTTTGTATTTAAGGACACAAGTCTCGAAAAAACAATATACATATTTAATGTGGGGTTTTAAGTGGTGACATTGCCTTATCTCGTAAATTCTTTTCACTTGCTTTCGATAACATCTTGACGAATTTCAAAGTGTTTTGTCCCCTTCAGCGTATAAAAAGAGAAGATAGTCAATGTAATGTGACACTGCATGAAGTGTATTTTGATCAGATATAACAAGATAAAAGCCTTATATAAATTTGAATGTTTTATAAATATCAATACAATAATCGTTGCCGAAACCAGTTTAAGTCTAGTATTATTTTTAAATATTAAATGTTTCTATAATTTTTTCCGCAATACTTATAATAATCTTTTATTACTTTTTCTTAACCATGTGAGACATTCCATTATCCCCAATTCCTTCTAAGTATCGATTATTTTTTAAGTGCGCATTTGCCTGTTATATTGTAAAATGAAATTAACTTTTTATATCAGATAAACGTTAATAAAACCGTTCTTAATATCATTGCGGTCGTAAACTTTTGTAATTTGCTATTGTTGAGTTTTTTATGTACAAATGGTACGTACAGCAAAAGTAAACCATAAATTTTTGCATAAACTTATATTATCATTATATATTTAACTAAGGCGTATAAATTATATATTTTATTAGTCTGAGAACTTAAGACGAATTAGTGTGTGTAATAAAAAAAACTGTTGGTCATTACTTTTTTATAGTTCATGTAATAACTGAGAGTTTTTAATGATTTTGTTCAATTCATTAAATTTGAAGTACAATTTTAAATAATTTAATTCCAAAATAGAATGAAAAACGATGATTATCTATTAAAAGCATAATACAAATTTCATTATATTAATGAATTTTAAATAAAACTTTTATTGTCACGGTATTTTATAATTTTAATTTCAATTATAAAAAAGACATTTTGCAAAATTTACATGTTAGGAATATCTTTAAATGTTAATTCATTTTTCAAATTCATATATTACGTATATTGTAATTTTTTATATAACACACCATAATATTCATGAAAGGGATTTCATTAATAATCCAATGAGCAAATATTGAACATGCGGAATGTTTCGATAAATTTGTGTGGGGTGATGTGTTCATGATATAATATAATTTATATAGTTGACTATCGCAGTCATCTGGCCTCGTATATTCTCTGTGTTACGATGAGGTAGGTACCTCTATAATAACCGTCTATGTGTTCAGCTTGAGGCCTTAGTACCTACCCTCTAACCCTAGGGCCTAAACACAGTAATAACATTGTAAATAGCTCAACAGGCAGTCCCAGAGCATCCCCTAGCTTTTGACAAATACAGGGTTGTACTCATAACTTTTAAACTCATATTTTAGACGATTGTTACACTTAACTTTTAGTATGCTGACCAAAATTTTACATATTTCACGTACCGTTAAAAACTCATTAATCAATAATAACTAGAACCTAGAACACTGATATTTTTTGAATTCAGAATTTTACAAATGCAAAATATATTTTTTCACATTAAAAATAATTCAGTATGATTAACATTTGGCCATCAATAGAATATTACTAATTTTTAGTTAATTTTCTAAATATTATACACCACTTGTACCTATATTTATATTTTATCAACTATCACTACTTTATATTTTATCAATTTGATGCTAGAGAAAACATTATTTTATATAAACAGTAAATTTAAATAGACATAAATCTATAAATAGTACGGATGATAATAAATTCTGAATATTTTTCTTTTTAAAAGATCGCTTTGAAATTTATATGAGCTTTACGCTGAGGTATCCGATTTCCACGAAATATTTGTCTGAAATGGATACGAGTTCAGAGAAATAATTTTGCATTCGTATAAAATAAAATAAATTAATTTCACGACTTGGAATATGTCCTGGGTGAAATATTGTGTTTTGGATAATATAAATATAAATAATAAATGTAGAAATATTTGAATAAATACGTGTTTTATATATTTTAATATACTGATCTGCATTGATTAGCAATATGACTTGAATGCTATAGCATTCAAAATTTAAGGTCAATTTTAAATTTAATCTATATATTTTTGTAATTATTATACCTGTCAAGGTAATGATAAACTGATTCTTTAGGTATTTTCGTATTGTTTTGAGTAAAATAGAAGCGTAATACTTGACGTGGATGCTATAGCATTCATCGTATATAACAATTAAAATATAATAATCTGACTACTCTTATAAACAATATTTAATAAAATTTCGGATATTACAACCAACTTAAAAATAAAATGACCAGGTCAATTTTTGTACCTTGCTGAAAACTTTTACTGTTCGCGACATGTTCGTGCTTGCAATCCATGCAGGATAATATTTAGTATTAATAATTTCATGCTATTACATCAGTTATTCTCATGTCATTCTCATGTTCCAAATATGATAAAGTTGTTTCCATCATCAAATTATCATTAACCATAAAATAAATTTAGTGAAAAGCTCAATTCCAAAGTGGGCATTCTACTTACCAATATGTGTCTATTCTTATTTGCAGATCAATAAAACTTAAGTCCTCATATTAAAATCCATCCCATTGAATTCTCTTAACGAAGAGAAAAATTTGCATATCGTTCTCATCAGACGGATCATCAAAATGTGCGCCGCAAAAAGTTCGCCTTTTGGAGAGTGGATCTCGGCTCACTCTTGGCTCTTGGCTGTTGGCGCGGTCGTTCGGTCGTTCTGCATAGTTCTTTTTTCTCTCGCATAAACAACAGAACACGCTTCGGCTTAATGTGCCGCCGGCCGCTGATGCTTCTTCGTCCTTGTATAGCATATTAATTTATATGAGTTAATCATTCTCATTTTCTCGCGTATGTGTGTCGATTGCTGTAAAACACGCAATTAAGTACCGCGAGCCGTGAGCGATCGTCAGAGACGGATAACCTTTACCATTAAACTAAATCATACAAGTAATCAATCTTATAGTATTGCCTCTTATGTTTTATGGGAAGATTTTATGATTGAAGAACACGTATGAGCAATAATTAAAATAAATTGTCAATTAGTTTTAAGTTTGTTTGATCAATATAAAAAATTACATGTCAACATGGTTATAAAATTATAATGTGGTGAGGATCACTATGATTAATTTGATATAAGCGGACTGTAAATTATAAATATTCCATCAACATAAGATATGTGAATAAAACCACTTTTTAGATTATGATATATATTGAACTTTACTCTACAACCTTCTTCTCTCATTACATTTGCTAGTCTCCTTTATTATTATAAGTTACAGGTATTTATACTCATACCATTGTATCCCCTACCCCGAAGGGTCCCGGGTTATCCTAGAAAAGGCCCTGGTCAAATCTTGGGGATCGTTCAAGTATTACGTAAGCAGATTTATTACAATTATTTACCCCCCCCCATCCCCCTTGTCAGCAAAAGTAGGCAAAGCTCTTACCCCCTACCCCCATGCTTACGTAAACATTTTGCAATTAATGTAAAAAAATAAAAATACTACCTATGACGTAATCATCATCCAGGCTCTCCTGTCCCCCATGTCAACCCAAAATAAGCAAATCAACAACCCCCTCGCCCCCTATAGTGCGTAATACTTGAACGGCCCCTTGACCATAACGTAATAACTCTTTTTGACGCACCGTACTTATCCTTCCAATATTACTTCTATCAAGATTTTCCCATTGTTTTCCCCTAATACTCACTTAATTCAATTATTTATCAGTATTATTATCATTTCATGCTTTAAAAAAATGATTAATGTAGAAAATAAAATTTTCTATTTGCATACGAGCTTCAGTTCATTTCTAATTGTGAATATCCATGCACCTTCCAAGTGA